GGATTTTTGAGGGAGTTAGGAGGGAAATTTGAATGTAGGGACTGTTTAGGGATTTCCTTTTGATTTGTATGCATTAAATAGTTTGTTTTCCTAGGGTTATGGCATATTGAATTTGGCTGAAATTTGATATCTCATTGATTTTCTTTGGGCTCTAGCGGCATCTAGAGATTTAGGAGAGATTGATCCTCCTGTCGAATAGAGGATCAATTGTATCTTGTTATTTTCTTCCTTAATTTATTTTCTTGCAATAAAATTATTGTTTTTAATTGGTTTTCCATTGGAATCGTGGAGATTTCTCGTTGTTTTTGCTCTCTTGATAGGATTTACTTGGAATATTCAAGTGTTTCCTATCAAATTGGTATCAGAGCTATTCGATCCGGGCACTTATGTTTGGAAGAAAAGTAAAAGTAGTGGAAGGCGAGATTGGGCAATTGAAATCAGATTGTGTAGAAAAGACTTCAGATTTCAAAAAGCTATTTTCAGCCCTCCATGAGAAGGTCGATGAGAAATTCGCCATCATGGAGGAAATGATAAAGAGGTTGCTTGAGGGTCAAAACAAACCGACAACATCGGAGGTGAGAACATCATTGACTGGACAAGAAAATGCGAGTAACCCTAATATAGGGATAATAAGTGGGAATCATAAGGTGGAAATAGTGGGGGAAGAAGAGGGGATGCCACTTTTGGAGCCACTTCCAAGGAGAAGAAATGGAGAAGGAGTGAGACTTGTAGTGGAGCTGCAGAATTTGGATGGAGAAAAATATGGGGAGAAGATAGAAGCATCATACATGATTCTACCACCCCTACAACAGTATTGAGAGGTGTTCCAGCAAGTTCAAGGATTGAATCCTTCGCGGGAACATGAGTATGTTATTATCTTGAAGGAAGGAGTCCCACATGTTCGTCTATACCGTCATCCCCAAATCGAGATTGAGAGATTAATCAAGGAGATGCTCGAGGCAAGGATCATTCAACCTAGTGTCAGTCCATTTTTCAGTACAGTGCTATTAGTCTAGTGCTTCAACAGCAGATTCGTTCGTTCCACCTTGAGGACAAGGTGGTACTTTGGGAGGTGAGTATTGTTAGACCGGTCCAGCTAGTCCATATCAGTGTTCCGCCTCCTTGACGCGCCGAACACACGCCCCGGCGTGCATGAGCTGTTTAGGAAGGATTATTGAAGGATTTAGGAGAGAAATTTGAATGTAGGGACTGTTTAGGGATTTCCTTTTGATTTGTATGCATTAAATTATTTGTTTTCCTAGAGTTAAGGTATCTTGAATTTGGCTGAAAATTGAGATCTCATTGGTTTTCTTTGGGCTCTAGCAGCGTCTAGAGATTTGGGAGAGATCGATCCTCCTCTCCAATAGAGGATAAATTGTATCTTGTTATTTTCTTCTGTAGTTTGTTCTCTTGCAACAAAATTATTGTTTTCATTAGTTTTTCATTGGAATCATGGAGATTTCTCACTGTTTATGCTCTCCTGATAGGATTTACTTGGAATATTCAAGTATTTCCTATCAAATTTCTGAATAAAGAGTTAGTTGATCTATATTTTAGGCGAAGTGATGATTATTTTTTTCCAATTGAGGAAGTGACTCTCCTATCCAGTTATATTCTTGCTCATTTTCATTGATATTTTCTCCCATTTTCCCTTGCAGGAACAAGAGCTTGAAGCATAATTGAAAATGATCTAATCTGAGCACGGAAAGAGCCTGAAGCATAATTGAAAACTGTAAGGCATTAATTGGATGACCAAATAATCTCCAAATTCGGCATGTTTATAGTCGAATTGAGCTACTCGATGAGATGAATCCAACGAGCCCAAGAGCGATTACTTTTGACATTATTAAGATACTTAAATGCTAAAAAAATGCTTTATTATCAAGAGAATAAATATGGGTTGTTCGATGGGGTGCACCAAATTTTCTTTATATATACAAGGCACGTCACTCCTAATAATTTATAAATAGGCCTCCATTCTTTCGGGAGCATAGAGGAGCTTAGATTCTTGGCTAGAGATATAAGAGAGCTTTAAGGCTTAAAGAATCCTGGAGCTCCACTTGAGCACTACCGCCAACGAACCCACTATCAGCGTTTTGCCCAATCATCACCGTTGACTACCCAGTTGTCACCATCAGACCTCGGCCCGACCGTCACTGTTGAACTTTCACTGGCCGATAGCCCCTGACGGGCCACAATCATCATATTACAATCCTCCAACCATCATCGCCCGCTGACTACGATCCGTTTAATCTTAGTCACCCTCCAACTATAGTTTTTCAACCTCCGTTGCCCATCTACAGTCTTTCGATCTCTATCGCCAGGCGACTACAATCTTTTGATCTCTGTCGCCAGCCGACTACAGCTCTCCGACTAATATTGCTCAACTACAATTCTCCAATCACCATCACGCGGCTACAATCCTTTCGATCTACGTCATTCGCCAACTATGATTTTTTGACCACCATTGCCCAACGGCCCCAACTATGATCCATCCAATCTCCATCGCCCATCGATTACCATCCTCCGACCTCTGTCATCCAACTAAGATACTTCCAATCTCCATCGTCCGCCGACTACAATCCTCCTACCATTGTCGACCAACTACAGTCCTTCCAACCTTAGTTACCAACCGGCCATGATCCTTCCGACCTCCATCGCCTACCACCATGGTCCTCCAATCTCTGTCGCCTGCCGACTACAATACACATACCTCCTTCATCCGCCAACTACAATAAACCGACTTTCATCACCTGTTGACTATGGTCCTCGGCCCACCGTTGTATGACTACTGTCCTCCGACCACCGTCGTCGGACTATTGTTCTTCCAACCTCTATCATTCACAAACTACGATCCTCCGATTGTCGTCGGTTGACTATGGTCCCCTGACCATTGTCGTCTGACCACGATCCTTCTAACCTCCGTCACCCGCCAACCATAGTCCTCCAACCTCCATGGCCTACCAACTACAACCCTCTAACCTTCATCGTCCACCAACTACAATCCTTAGACCACGGTCTCTAGACTACAATCCTCTAACTACCATCACTGGCTACGATCCTCCGACTCCATCACCTGACTACTGTCATTCCGTCCTTCGTCGTTTGCCTACTATAGTCTCCCAACCACGGTCCTCCAATCTCCTTAGCCCACCAACTATAGCTAGACTGAGCTCCATCGCCCACTGACTGCAATCCTCAAACCATGATCTCCTGACTACGATCCTTTGATCTCCGTCGCCCACCTGCTATAGTCCTCTGACCTATAATCTTTTGATTATTATCACCTAGCTACTCCAACACCTACTGACTTCATTATCTATCATCGTTAATAATGCCAACATATATCATCACTTATAGGACCATGACTCTCAACTTAACTAATGCTAGATTCTTACCAAAGGGGTTTTCCAAATTCAACCACAAAATATGTTGAATGCATTGCATCAATGTCTTCTGTCAAAGAAGGGTAACATTTGTAATCAAATACAAATACTATTGGAATATCCAGAAAAATCTAGAATTGAGAAGAATGCATTTAAAGCAACTTTTAATATCAAATGTATCGCAGTCCAAGCACGATGGTTTTAGCCAAAAAACTAACGAAGAAGGTTTGTTAGATCAAGGTTTAAAATAGTGCAATTAGGAATTGAGGCATTTTTTGTTCGTAAGGAGAGGCATGAGCCTCAAGGAATTTTGAGGAATAAATCTCAAGACATTTTGAGAAATAAGCATCAAAATTCAAAAATTGTGTAAAGTAAAAAATAAATGTTAAAAGTGATTTTTTATACAATACCCAAATAATATGTTAAAGGATGACATATTAACTTTCTATTTTTACTATAAAGTAATAAATTGACATACATATGAAATAAAATTACATAAAACGTAAAGTGATAAGTAATAAATTACGTGAAATAGAATTAAAATTCAAATATTATAAGAGATAAACAACATAAAATATAAGAATTACATAAAAGTATCATATAAAATCAAGTTCAACTTTAAATTCTTTCTTTCCCGGTTCCCTATTCATCCACATTTAATTCTTTAAAAAAAACTAAATAGTTGACAATAACTCAGAAATCATCTACACTATCTTCATTTAGGGAGGTCTTTATTTGAGTCATCAACATAATAAATTGGTCGCTCCCTTGTCTCATTTTGTAGAGTCCAATGCCTCATAATCTACTATTTCTTCATTTATTTCAATCATCTTATTCTTACATAAATGTTTGTCATCAACATAAAGATGAGTGTAATACTCCAAAAATTTTAGAGGTGGTGGCGGTGATGGTGCACGGCTTCTAAGTGATCCCCGACTCGGCTATGGTAGTGGTGTTTGCAACGGAGTGACAAGTTGGAGGCCGAAGCAATCGAGAGGAAATTATTATGGCTTTGGGGTGCATGAAGGCATGATTTGTTAGGGAATTTAGTTTATGATTCATATAAGTAATAGTAAAATATATGCATATATAAATAGGGCCGAGGCAAACCTCATATTGCATAATTTTAAATAATGCGCTACATAGAAGAGAAATGAATACTAGAAAGAAAATGCAAAGGAGACATGGAAAATCCAGTAAATCACAGCAAAATAGAGATTGGTAACTCCCTTTAAATTCAGGATTTAACTTTAAAATCCCCTTATAAACCGTTAGGGAAGATTTGGCTCAAATCCATTCGGAATCCTACTTCAAATGGCTAAATTAAAAATTAAAAAAAAAAAAAAAAAAAGTTGGTTTGCATGTAAGGATGTAAGAAAATTGCAAGAAAATAAAATAGAAGTTTTCCATGCATTTCTTCACCTCTCTCGTCCACTGCCAACTTCTCTTTTTTGTAGATTTGAATGTGCATGTGCATGAAGAAAAACAGGCCGAGCTAAGAGAGATACAAGGACAATGATTTTTAGAGTGGTGTGAAGTAGCCACTAAAAAGCCCCACCACCTCCTATAATATTTTGCATCAATATAACGCAATCCATCATGGAAACAAAATACCAGAAGCTGGTTCGTGACGGTATCTTCCTGATTGTAAAAGGTGACTCTCTGCACGCCGGTAAAGGAGGGCGAGTTCACAATGGAGAAGGAATTGTGGGTCACCAGCCACGTGTACTTGTTGAAAGGTAAGCCTTTCTCCTGTCAGTCATTCTTGTTCCTTTAAGCACAAACTTTGGAGGGAGAAAGAGTGACAGGTAGAGGAGGAGCTCACAATGTCAGTTTGACGGGTGGCCTGGCCGCGGGTGCAGGAGGGACGGGTCTTTCCTGAGGCCGGACAGGTGCCGCAGTAGAGGCCTGGGGCGCACTCTTCAGCTCCGGAGCAAGGGCTCAGGAGCTGCGCAGACGATCAAATGGGTCAGATTGGAATAGTAAAGAGTTATGAGGAGTAGATATAAATAGAGTACCTGGCAGCCGGGAGCGGCACAGGCGGCGGCGTGAGCAATTACCGAGAAGGAGAGGAGGAATTGGAAAAGGCAGGGGCTTGAAGCCATTAGAGCGAGAGGCGAGAGATGGCAGAGAAGCGTGAGAGGGAAAAAAATCAATCGCAGATGCGCTGAATAAAATTTTGCTTTAACTGGGAAAATAGTTTATTTATATTTTATAATCATCTGATAACTATTAATATTTATTTTTCATACGGATATAATTTAAATTTTGCTAAGGGTGTCCTGATAAACTTTTTAACATGAAAGATAGTTTAATTATTTATAATCATCTGATAAAAAATTAATATATATTTTTCTTATAGAATATAATTTAATTTTTGTTAAGGATATTCCAGTAATTTTTTTGAAAATTCTAAGTTCATATGTTTCAAAATATTCAAAATTAGAGAAATATATAGTTATATATTATTTAAGTTTTCAGAAAAATATATTCAAAAATTTCATTCAAACCAATATACCCTCATTTTGAACCGCAAACTATTTTTTCCAATTTTGTTACCACCAAACTTGATTCAAATAACAATCAAACAAAATTCAATTAAATGTTAAACCAAATGTGATAAATATGATTTATTGTCCAATATTTTTTCAAATCATAATCGAACATTCAATTTTTTTTTTTTTTTCCAAAAAGTTTTTCTATCAAGATTCAAATATGATTCAAATAAAGTTTGAATAAGACATTGCTTAAAAAAATTATATAATCATTAAATGACATGTTCAAATAGTGGTTGTCCAATGTGAGAGCAGTACTGAGCAGTACCGAGCAGTACTGAGCCGTGGTACCGAGTAGGGGGTGATGTGACACATTTTCATTAAGCTCTAGACGGCGTCCGATGTCTGCACCTAATAATTTTTCCTCTATAAGAGCAAACATATGCATATTTAGATGTTATGTCATTACTTCTCATACTTAACACGATGATATCCTTAGCCTCAAATATTTCAAATTGTTTAGCAATTTTCTCAATCACAGCACTAGATCTATAAATGACCCATGCATAGCATGATATCTCAAATGAGTGCAAAAATAATAAATTCAAAATTTGCTCGAACCTTCATCGAACACTTGTCTATTGTCCAAATTTTGATTGAAACTTCATCAACTATTGTTCAAAACTTATTTTAAATATTGCTCAAAACTTATTTTAACCTTAAATGAATCATGTTCAACACATGATTAAAGCTTACTCCATTATTATTTGATTCTAGTTTTGAAATACAAACATATTTTGAATAAGCTTCGAAGCCTTGTTCAATTATATGTCAAATATGCATCAACCAAAGTAAAAAATAAATATGGGATCTTAAATACTGCAACAATACCTGAAAATACATCACTATAGAACTCTATGTCCCTATCATGTGGTAACTTCACTAACACATCTAAAATACATTAGAAAACTCTTAAACCACAAGAACATTATCAATGAACTCAAAATTTAACCTCTTGTCCCCCATAGATGCCAAAAACAAGATATTACCCTTCATCCATAATCCATCTTCTTGTACAACAGATATCAAACAAGATAACACACTCCTTACTCCCTAAAATAAATAACGCTCATTATTTATAAATTAATAGAGTAACTTTCTTCTTCTAAAAATTAATTTTAGCCCTATATAAACTCAACCAATTCATATATGAATGACATCAAACTTAGAGATAAGCACTACAATCAAACCAAATATCCACGACCTATCAAAAATATCTAAGTCGTAAAAGAAAACCCAACTAATTATCGCACTATCTCCCAAAGATAGAATAATAGATAATGAAGCAGGTAATAGTACATAAGGGGTAAACATAACATATTAAAGTAAATCTCTAAAATGAATGAGTGACTGGCTCCTAAATAAAACATAATGCAACAAGGAATGATAAAAATATATGTTGCACCTCTAACCACATCGGAACCATCTTTGACCTCATGTTGAGTCAAATTATATATGCATGTATGTGCTGAAGCTAAAGCAACAAAACTATTAGGCTCCCTCTAATCTCTTGACTACAAAATCACTACCTCTACTAGACCACACCTCAATAAAAACAAAGAGTGGAACTGTCCTTGATCTTCCCGGTTATCTATCAAAATTTTTAGATCTAGCCTCAGAGCTTCTATCTAATCCTGCTTGTGGGCATTCATCTACGTTGTCTAATTCGATAATGTCAAAAACATTGTCCATTCATCCTATAACAATGACCCAAGTATCTACTACCACAACTCTGACATATTGGTAATCCATTGATATAACTCATAAAATTGATTGCAAAGCTACCAATTGAAATAGACTTGTGGAATCTCCGGATCCAAACATGCTTCTCTTCCTAGAAAATTTATTGTTAAAGCTCTCCCTATAAAATCTCTTCCCTATTAGCAGCCCATCGCCATAGAGTAGCTATCATATTGTCCTCAATCAAATGGGCTCTCTCCACGAGGCCAACAAAAATTAGTAATGTACAACAGAATGATTGACTATCTCCTACTTTGATTAATTATTTAAAAATATGATATATATATATATATATATATAATGCCATATTTTTATTAAAATTTTAAATAGAACCGGAAAAAATCACGAAAATATTTAATTTGGCTTGACTTTTTATTTAGAATAAATTTAAAATGATGATTGCATGATAAAATATTGGTTTAGGGTTTGATTTTGCTATATATAATAAGAACTGCTGACTTTAGAAACCATAGCTGATTATAATAGCACACTTACACAACTTGTAACCCTAAATTCAAACAATCCTTGTTCCAAAAGGGATATCTTGTATTAAAATTGCTTCAACAACCAGAAGATGAATAGACTCTACTAATTTGTTTCTTGCTTTAAATTATTCTATCACATTCATTTATATTTGATATAGCATATAATTTGCACATTCTCTACCCATTTATCCTGCCAAAAAAGATAAGTCAGCACAAATCAACATCTCTAACATGAATTACATTTCTTCTTCATCGCCTGTAGATTGAAACAATAAAATCATGATTATATATAATAAAAACTTCAATGAATGGTTGTTGAATAAGATGAGGAGCATAGAGCCTGCAATAACTACCAGTAAGAGGAGGTTACACAAGTTAGAGACATCAAAACATATTAGATGTTAATTTCTAAACTACATCCATCCTACAAAATGATGAAATTTACAAACATTGTGACATATTTTCTTAGCCTCTTAGTCACTAATACAATATGCGTGTAGAGTTTCAGAAAAGGTATCTGTTCTGAAGCAGCAAAGCGCCAAAGACTGTCCACTATTTGGATTTGCGGAAACCTTTAAATATGCTTTCCTTGTAGTATTTTAGCTCTCTGATACTTTCTTTGATATCATCCATGGCTCTGTGTCTCTTCTCCTTAGTAGGAGCAGCCTTCCTTTCTACAAGGTTATATAACCAATAACGTTAATCATGATCGTATAAGTCCATAATAACAGTATTCAATCATGCTTCATGAATCAATTCCTACAGTAAACCCACTTTCCTATCAACAGTGTGTGATTAAAGCTTACAAGACGCTTAGGGTTAAAGAGACATGAATACCACTTAATTATTTCACATGATTCAATACTGTTCTAAGTAAAAAAGTCTGTTTGACAATTATTTGTAAAATTATTGGGATAAAAAAAAAAATTTTGTAAGTTGTTATAGATATCATATATACAAGTCGTAGCACTAGCATAATCTAATCTAAAATTGTAATTACACGATCAATCCAACAAAATTAAAGATGATGAATTAAATTGATGCAAAACATGGATCCAAGTTTAAATTCATAACTGAAGTCTGTCTAGGCTGAACACAGATTAGGCCAATTCATAAATATTGTATTTTATTTAGGGTCTATTGGAATTTTTTATTTAGATAAGAGTTATCCTTCTGAATAAAATAAATTTAAATCTGAATTATATGATAAACTTTAGTTTTTAATTTTAAATTATAAAACATATTTCTTTACAAAAGATTAAAATAATTTTTATTTGATTATCTCGATATAAAATTAAGCACTCCATTTCCCTCCATTCGTTGGCTTCCTCTCTTTATCAACTAGTGATACAATAAATATTTCATACTCTATTTTTCATCACTTCACTATTCCTCAAACATCTCTCTTTCTCTCTCTCTCTCTCTCTCTCTCTCTCTCATTCGTCATACAACTGTAGCAACTTTCCTCCTTCCTCTCACACACCTTTCCACTCTTCACTTCTCAAACATCCAAAGGGAGAGATAAAAATTTAGTAAAATCTCAAGAGCTACAAGATCACTAATAATTAGGTATCAAAGCATTCCTATACAACAATTTAATATTAGAGCCAAAAATCGAAACGGAAATCCTAAGCAGTTCAGTCCACCTTTATTAATAGAATTTAATATTATAGCCAAAATATTCTTTGGTTTTGATTTTCTATTTCATTTATCTGGTTAAGATTTCTCTTTTGAAGCGTCTCTCTTGAAACATGCAACTCTGAGAGAACACCCACAGCTAACACATCGGTGAAGAGAGCAAGAGGTTTGCCTCTTCGGAAAGGAAGAAACTATAAGGCTAAAACCCATTGCATGCTCCATCTCGCCTCTTATGTCATCTACATTCTATAATCACCACCTACCTACAAGGCAATAACAACGATTAGAGGAGAGAGAAGAGAAAAGAGGTAACTACTGAAACCTCTAAACCCTAAACCCTAAAGACCAATCTTCCAAAAAATGTCTCGCATGCTTGTAGATGGAAAAGACTGGAATCTTAACAAGCAATCTATCATTTTTTCTTAATTCCTTGTTTATTTAATTTGAACGCATCTCTTTTCCTTATTTCGCCAACTATGAGTTCAAAGTGAACTTTTAATATAGGTGCAACATCGTTCCTTGCCATTGGCACTTTGCGTTGATACATGGAATCGGCAATTAACTTCTAACAAGCAGTTTAAAGGAAAAGTTCTCCCCATTGTTATCATGTCTTATTAAACTTGGACTAAATGCACACCTCTTCTATATCGTCTAGTTCCAACCTATTTTATTAAATTTTCTTCAAAATATTAATTTCTTAAATTTTATGCATGATTTGTTGCATTTTCTCTTTTTTCAATATTGTATTAATTCTACAGCTTTCCAAGATATTGCTATATTAGGATTGCATCCTTATAACTTCATATCATTAAGGATATTTTAGGGTTCTTAAGCTCAATGAGCCTTTCCGGCTTCACATGTTATTTGGACTCTGGCTACCAAGACAACTGCTATGTCCCCATACATTTAAATAATAATTCCATAACCATTGTAGAATAACACAATAAGGAAACTTTTGCTTACCTTTAGGAAACCAGCGCATGCACAATGCAGTAATACTGCTCACATCAACGAGCACATGAGGGAAGATGCCGGCTAAGTATGGCATGTACTTCTGCATAAAAGAAACAAATCTCAGTTAACACAATATTCATAGATGGTTGAAACGAAACTGCAATAAACTACATATTTCTAATTGGGACAGGAAAGGGAAAGGCTTCTTTGCTCGAATAAGAATGAGCACCTATTCATTTGAATTAGCAGGTATAAATAACCGATATAAAAAAAAATCCACTTCAATCGCTAGGCATAAAATAAACTAAATAAAGACCAATAGTTTTTTCTTCATGAGCCTTATTGATCAGATTGGGTACCTCTAGTAAAAAGAACTGGCCCCATCAATCAGAAGTTGAGTTAGAGGCTGGTTTTATACAAGCTTAAAATCAATCACATCATTCTTAGAGGTTATTAATAGAAGATATATCAAATCTCTAGCATTGACTGGAAGATGAATGAAGACAAATTTCTGAAAAGATATCATCAGCAAGTATCAAAGATTTAATTTTCATTACCTTAGAAATTTAGTAGTTTTAAAATGGTACTGGATTCAAAAAAATTGAGAACACATAATTATGATACAAAAATAGATAACACGGACCTATCTAATCATCTCTCAATATATTGCAGTTTCAAACTATCTTTTTACAGGCAAAATATGTGGCGTCTGACTTCAGAAAAATCTTATTTAGGTCCCTTCGATTCGGTTAACAACTATAAGTTTGTTTTCTTTACATAAGTCTTTTTTTACATCTACTCTGCTTTCCCTGCCATGATCCAAAAGATATAGAAAGCCCCTACCATCCACCTTTTACTTTCTTCTGCAAGAAATTTTGATTAAAGCTCTTCTTTACTCGAGGGCAATTTTTTTACATCTACTCTGCTTTCCCTATCATGATCCAAAAGATATAGAAAGCCCCTACCATCCACCTTTTACATTCTTCTGCAAGAAATTTTGATTGAAGCTCTTCTTTACTAGAGGGCAACATGTTCCTCCATGGTGATGCCTTCCACTCTCCTTCCCCCACTTATATTTGAATGGCATTATCTCTCATGCTCCTCCCATCTCAAGTCCCAAACACCACCTTCCCTCCCTATTACCCTCTCTACTTTGAGTGCCCCATCTTCCCCCAAGTTAATCCCTTGTTCATCTTCCTCCTCGCTGCTCAGTAGGCATCATCCCTCTCCCTCTGATGACATTCTTATTGAGAACGCCAATTTTGTTCATTGATGGAAGCCTTCCACTAGTGACTAGAGAGCTTCAAAGGAACCCACACATACTCCGAGGTGTACCCGTTCTGCCAATCTCCAGAGTTTTTGTCAAACCATTTGGGCTACTGAATCCCCAAAACCCAACATTGCTGCTCATGTCGAGATGGTGACACAAAACGTCACTCAAACCTTGCAAAGCATATATTTCCACTCATATTGCTCAAAAAGTTTAAGCGATTCAAAAAGCAGCTTAGCCAACACAACAAGCAACCCACCCAACATAGTAAGCAGCTACAGGCACACTGACCAGCATAGAAACTCAAGTTAATCAATCAATGTTGAATTCCCAATTTGGTCAAGTGACACAAGTGCTCATGCTAACATTGGAATTGAAACTTCACAGATTGGTCATATTAACAAAGGGTAGATCTAGTCTGAGTATTAGAGCAATTCTTAAAAATGCATACTCCTACATTCAATGGGACAGTAGCATCTACTGAAAACAGATGCGTGATTCATAACATCAAAATAATACTTCACGAGTTAAAGAGTCTTGAAGAGCAGAAAGTGGATATGTCAGCATTCCGACTTAAAGGTGTTGATTATTGGTATGAGAGCCAGTGACATAACTTTGAACCAAATGCTCTGATGCACTATGCAGAGCTTGAGAGGCCTTGGAATAATATTTTCCAATGATGAACCATGCCAAGCTGATAAATGATTTAAGGATGTTCGAACAAATATCAAAGAATGTCCAAGAGTATAAAACTGAGTTTGATCAAATTGTTAAATTTGTCCCTTCTATTTAAAAACGTGAAGATCAAAAGTTCTGTAATGTTCTTTATGGCTTTTAAGAGGAGAAAATATATATTTATTGTTAAATGCACTACCTTCAACGAACTGATGAATTGAGCCATACCTGTAGATATGGAGATTAATGTATCAGAAGAAGAGATTACATGGAAGTGGAAGAATAAACGCACTCAAGAACATGAAGGTTCCCGACAAAAGCAACATATGAATCATCAGAGGGTGAAGCTAATGAACAACTCTCGTTATCCCTACTACGGTAAAAGGCAACTCCTAACGTTATATTTGACTCATGGCAAGTGCATCAATTATTATATTTAGATAATAAAATCAATGATTGTCCTCTTAAGAATCAATAATAATCCAAACTTTATAATTTGACTATTGTTAAGTGCTTCAACTACTATATTATCGATCATAAAATCAATGATTGCCTCGTAAGCCACAATTTTGAAGCTCCTAATGTGGTGACAGATATAATTTCTATTTTTTAACTGTCTATCAAGGATTTTATTTAGATCTGGGGAATCGCATTTGTTCATATCATACAATATGCATAAAATGTCAGTTTCCCAATTACAGACTATCTGTCAATTACTACGCCTTCTACTTGGTGCATGATAATTAATCAGTGTATTTATAACTACTATATTATCATCAATGACGTGCATATGTCTGTTACTCCCATTTTATTTCTGATAGCTGAATTTGATGTGATATTAGTTATGAATTGGCTATCTAAATAGTTATTATTGATTGTTACAACAGGAGAATGAACTTCTGCATATCAAGTACAGTACGTTTTCGTTTTAATAATGTTAAAGGGGTAATATCTGGTATATTACCAGAACTTAACGCATGAAAGGTGATCTCTCATAGGTGTGTTGGTTATCTTGCTTGTGTAGTAGATACAAATAAAATATAGTACTAGTTTAAACAATGCACCCATGGTTCAAGAATTTGCTGATGTATTTTCTAAAAATTTATCTAGCTTACCATCTAATCATCCCGCTCGAGTTCACTATTAGCCTAATTTTGGATACCACGCCAATTTCTAAAGAGCCATGTCGCACGGTGCCGTATTAAACTTTAGGAGCTTAAGGTTCAATTGCATAAATTGCTTAACAAAGGATTTATTAGGCTTGGTGTTAAACCTTGGGGAGCAAAAATCTTGTTTGTAAAGTAGAAGGGCAAAAGCATGAGGTTATGCATGGAGTATAAAAATTTGATTTAGATGATTTATATGACTAGCTGTAACGTTGTTTGTTGTTTTCTAAGATTAACCTTTAATCTATATATAATTAGTTGAAGATTAAAAGTGATGGTAAACCTAAGATTGCCTTTCGATCTCGCTATGATCATTATGAATTTTTGATAATATCGTTTGAATTGACCAATGCGCTTGTTGTTTTTATGGATCCTATAAAAATATTCATATCTTATTTCAATGATTTTGTAATTGTACTTATTGATGATATCTTAATTTAATCTAAAAAGTGAAGATGAGCATGCTCAACTTCTCAAAGTAGCATTGAGTATTCTTTAGGAGAATAAGCCTTATTTGAAACTCTTCAAATGTGAGTTTTGGAGAGAGCTTTTCATGGAAATATTATTAATAGAGCTGAAATTTATGTTGACGATATAAGGGCAAAGTAGTAATGGATATGCTAAGATTGAACACCGTTTTCGATATTTGTAGTTTTCTGTGCATAACTGGCAATTATAAGATATTTATGAATGATTTTTCTAGTATTGTTACAAATTTGGTAGATTGACTCAAAAGTCCATTAAGTTTGTATGGTTTAATTCCTATGAACAAAGTTTTTAGCAGTTCAAGAACTGCTTAGAGTTACCTCCTATCCTCATCATTCCTTTTGGCACAAATAGGTTTCAAATCTATAGTGAAGATTCACGTCGAAGTTTAGATTGTGTTCTAATAAAACATGGTAGAGTGGCAGCTTATGCCTCTAAACACCTAAAAAATGCATGCAAAAATTACCCCTGCTCATGACTTGGAGCTAGCCTCAATTGTTGTCATATAGAAGATCTGGAGACATTAGGAAAGAGCAAACGACAGCAGCATTCAACATATCTTGATAGTATAAACATCAACCAAGTACAACCCGAGAAGACAAAAATTCATATTGTTAAAAAAACATTTCTAGTAACGCTCCTCTGGAACTAACATTTCCTACAGTACTTTCTGTTGCGTTATCATACTTCTTATTTATTTTTAAAAAACCAATGCCAAAAAAGTTGAATATGGAGTGTTATGGTAATGAAAAATGTTATAGAGCCAATATAGCTTACCATAGCTACTACTGACTTACAGGCATAGACCTCCGCTTATTCAAATAATAAAAAATACAAGCAGATAATTACAAACAACTAACGTTCTAGAGAATCAAGTAGTATGTTGCATAATAAAGAGACTTCTATTGCACATTATCCTTTCAATGAACATCAGGAACAAAAACAAAGTTTCATGTAGCCGATAAACATTAGCAAATGATAAATTGCAGTCCTCTGTCACCAAATTTAACAAACAGTAATCAAAACACATTCAGCAATATCTGCATGAACACAAATGCACTGGAAATGGATGAATAGATTTGAAACATCAAAAAATTAAAATTACAGGAAATCAAGCTGCACGATTGGAAACAATAATTAGATAATAGTTATATAAATGAATAAATGTTAGGGATGCTTCACAATGAATTCATAAGCAACAAGAAGGTTAGAATATGTTGATCGTTTGTAAGGTACTGTAACATTAAAAGACCAAAGCGTAAATAGATCGAGTTTTTGCCGAGCTAACAACATTGTGGCACCATTGTAGACTTATTTAAGTAAATTTAGATCTCAGGTAAGAACAGTCTCATCATATTCCATCATTTCATTTTCAAATGATCCTTGCAGTTCAAGTAATACAAATGTATCTTTGTGTATAATAATTAAGTGAACAGTTGAAAACCTGGTTACATCTTTCTATGACCCTATGACCGTGAACTAGAAAAGTGAGGTTAATATTTTCTTGACCTTCAGAAACATGAAGTCCACATATACGGAATTTCCAGCCAAAAGAGGCGTTTGAGACCCAATATGATTCTTTACAAAGTTTATTACCTGGAACATGCAAAAAAGCTTCATCAACATACAATTCATAATATGAGGACAAGAATAGAAACTTACAGAATAGTACCTTCAACCATTTGCTAGCAACTACTAGGTACGCAAAGAAAAAAAGCTTAATTTAAGGGAAATCATCTAAGCCCGTGCATTTATGGCCACTAGTTTCTTTGTATTTTATTGAGAAGATAATCTAAAATGACATAATAAAATCTATATCAAGTGTAACAGAGAGCGGGCTAAGCAGGCTGCATTTAAATGGGCAAGCTAAGCATCTGTCTTATTTAAATTAAAAAATAAACAAAAAAACAAATTATGTTGAAATGGGTCCCTCATGTTTGGTGGAAGTATCAAATTAGTTCATCCTGTTTCAAAAGGTTAGGACAGTAGATGTAGTAGATTTGAATTATGTTAAGAAAGGTAGAGCCATAGATGTAGACTTAAAAAGACTTGGTTAGAAAATATTAAAAATGGCATTTCTTTATTAGATTTAATTGAGAAATTAACTCTTAACATGACACAATGGAGAAAAAGGATTCATGTAGCCAACCTCACATAGTGGGATAAAGGCTTGATGTTGTTGAGTTGTTGTTTCAAAAGGTTGAAATTATCAATTTCTAAACGGCTTCAAATAGGTCCTTTTTATGTTCCTTTGCAAATTGCAATTCAATTAGATCAGATGAAATAACTTTTATTTTTTTAATTAATTATGTACTTTTCTGGATTATGCATTTTGATAATTAATAGAACAGATTGTTAAAGAAAAGAAAAGTTTATTGCTGGACATGAAGATTATACACCGGCATGGCTTACACCCATTCCTCACCCAAAATTCCCTATCGTTACATTGGAGGCAAGGCTAGCTCACTTGAGCAATTTAATGTCAAGCCTACAGAGAGAAATACTGAGAGAGAGATAGAGAGAAAGCATGCCAACTCTCAACTCCCACCTTACCTCCCCTCTATTGTATGTTGGAGGCAAGGCTATCCCACTAAATCACTCCAATGTTGAACTTAACAAGTGGTTTCTGCGTAGAAGAACTTGACTAATGTGAAACTTTAAGTACTGCCAAATTTTCACATTTCTTCTAGTTTTAAGTATCTACAAACTCAAAGGATCACACCTGGGCAATCTAATGTCAAAGTGAATCCCTCGATGCACACGAGGCGTCTCAATTGAGACGCACAAGGAGCACCTTGAGGCTTAAGCCTCATTAACTCTAATGAGACTTGCACCTTTTTTAAATGAGGCATATGCCTCAAGACATTTTTAGGAAGCGCCTCATTTGGATTAAGTATTTAAATTTTTTATTATATATTACTATTATTATTAATATATATTATATTCTATTATATTATATAATCTAGTGAATTGGGGGCAATCTCTACTTCACAAGTATTAAGAGATAAGAATCAAAGTGGGGTGGAATTTCAAAAAATAAAAATAAAATTTAATTTAAATATAATGAATCATTTTGTTGTTTTATTTTAAATTACATTTGATGCAATGTTAATTGACGTAGATAATAAACAAAAATATTATAACTCAAGAAGATTTTGAAGATACAATAAAACAAAATATGAGGATGATAGAAATATTATATATAATGACTCTTCTGAAAAATACAAAAGTAAGAATGAGGATGTCATGAATTCTAATCCTTGTGGCATATTTAAGTTTTAAGTGAGTATTTACTTTAAACTTTCATGTCATAATAATATTTAATATTGAGATTTATGGTTTATATCTTTATGATGATGAATCAACTAAACATGTTAATATTTTATTTCTATTTTTTAACATTTTAAGAATTATTGTAATTTTATAACTTTTTTTTATTTTTCTATTTCAATGTTTAAGTCTCGATCCATCTCGAGAATTATGCATCACCTCGCTAAGACAAAACGCCTCAATTCTTGATTTCACCTTTTTAGACCTTGATTTTAAGAGAAGCTCCGCAATTTCTTATTAGGTTACCTAGTTGAGAATATCACCAAGCATGAGGGAGTACTCAACATTTATCATAAAATATATTAACAAGCATAAAATTATTTACTCATAAGTTGGTATGCAATTCCAATGACACATGAAGCATTTAGAGATCAATTTAAGTATAAATATTATGCCAACTAAAAATGAGAAAGAAGAAAAAAAAGTGCTACAATCGTATTGATTTCTAGGTGTTAAGAGAAAAATCTCTTGAAGTATATTTGACTTAATATAAGAGCCTATTAGGATGAATAAAAAGGGAAATTAATAAAAAGAATATCAACAATTATGAGCATATCTTCTTACTTGGATACTCTCCTAATTTAATAATTTCTAAAATACTATGACAAAATCCAAAATTATGTTAGGATGACGATGATACAACTAGCAATGATGGTGAAAAGGTGATACAACTAGCAATGATGGTGAAAAGGTGTAAGAAAGGAGGAGAGAGCAGAAGGATCATCAATCGTCAAGTTGTAGACTTGACCAGCTTCAACACCATCAATCATCTTCTTTAAGGTGAGATCTTGAAAAACAAAATATGAGAGACAAAAAGATACAAAATAATTATGAATCATTGTAAAGCAATAATAGACAATAAGCTAATAGAACATCATGAGACATCTAAAATAGATATAAATCTTTTTAGAATACATGATGCCCTATTTAGAGAAAGGAGAGGGGGCATCAACAACAATAACAAGTGTAGTGGAGGTCAAATGGGGAAATGAAAAAGTTGGTTGTTACCTTTCACATTGGAACAAGCTCATGTATTTGTTGACTCAATTTTTTAGTCGACTCGACTTGACTCAAATCGAGCCGATTTGAGTCTCAATTTTTTACTCGACTTGACTTGACTCAAATCGAGCCGATTTGAGTTCAATTTGGGCCTATTTGGTTTGGGGGACCTAGCTTGATCTGTGATGATTGAGCCAAATTGAATTCAAATCGGCCCGATTTGAGTCGAGTCGAGTAAAAAATTGAGTCAACAAGATCTAAAACCCAAGGCGTATCTGTAGAGATAGTTGCAACATATCTAACAAAAGAAACAATATGAGATGTTGAGATATATGACTAAGAATGTTGAAGTAGTTAATCATAATCTTTTTGAGAAAGATTGCCAAAAAGTGGATGAAGCACTAGGAGAAGTTCACAAAACTAAACCAATGGTAAAGGTATGTTAAGCACTTAAAGGATAGTAAAATGTGTCAGTAGCATTCAAGATAATGGTTGGTGCAGTTGCAGTGAGGATAAGTGGAAAGTATTATGACCACAATAGAGTTCAACATTAGAACAAACAGCATGGATAAAAATTCCCTAACTATCCCTAGACACAAAGCTAACTGGTGAGAAGACAACAGTTAGAATGAAATGAACCCTAGAGTTCACCGTCAATTAAGATTTTACACTTTGCTAAGAAGGATGCAAAGTTAAGATAAATTTGGCAATAAGGAATTCTTAATTCTGTTTTTTTTCAAATAATTTGATCAATGGTGAAAGAATGGTAATGAAATAACTCGTGCTATTTCCCTCTGAATATTCTATAATACTTTTGAGTTTTGAATATGCAAATTATTTTCTTCAAGCAAAAATATTTCAAAATAGAGTGAAGACACATGAGATATTATTATTTTAAAAATATGTGAAGCGAAAAAATCTCCTATCACTTAGGTTGAATCCTAAATCTTGAAACCTAACAATTGAACAATTGATGGTTTAAGGCTATTAAGAAACAAGGTAAGAACTTGACGGTGTCATTGTTTTCTAGAGGAAAGAAATGAATAACATTTTTTACGAACTCATCAACAAACAAGCTGACAGTTATGCTGAAGACTTGATGATCAAGAATAAGTTCTGTAAGTGTCACTTATAAAATATACGAATCATATTGAAGCCTTGCGGCCCTTGCGTCAATGTGACCTAAATTGAAGCACTTAAAATCTATGTTTGGGTTACCTCAAGGAAGTTCTATGGTTTTCCATATGACAACACAGCATTGAAATCAGCCTATTTAAGATCAAGGCAATCCATAATGTGAAACCACCTATAAGCCTTGCTCAGCCAAGTCACTTTAAGGTAAACTTGCATTCTTGTGTTACTTTCTTTTAAATTTATCTAGAAGTTGCCAAGCATTTGTTGTGCTTGCTAAGAAAATTACAAGGTTCAACAGAAAAAAAATTGTCAAGTTTTTGATAATATTAAACACCACCTGATCTCACCTATCATGCTTGTAACTCTAATATAAGGTGAACCCCTCATTTGGTATAAAGCTGCTTTTCATGAACCTCTTGATGCCCTTTTAGCTTAGACTAATGAGCAAAGAAAAGAGAATGCAGTCAGTTAACTTAGTCTTCAGTAATTCTAACCCAAATTAAATATCCACCTAGAATAAAAGGTTATTTAAAATTACTATTGAATTTAAATTGAAGAAAGAATCCTTCCCAGGCTCTGTTTAAATTTAAATATATCTAACTAGTTCCTCCCCATTTCTGTCCTACTGCGTGCTTTTTTCTAAATCACTTTTCTGCAATCCTAACTGGCCCCCTCCCTCTCTCTAAAAGTTTAGGAAAATACCCCTTGGCTAGAAAAAACAACTTTACCTTCATAGAACATGAGGTGATGTTACCCATCCACCCTTCCTTTCCACTTACCCGACCCTCAAGCCCAACCCCTCACCAAAAATCGCTCTAATCAAAATTCCCTCGTCTCTCTAAAAAATAAAAAAGCATAGTCCTACTCCTAACCCTATAAAATCTTAGCAATATAAACCTTAATATTAGACTTTTTTTCTTTTTCTTTTCTTTTTTAGCTTTGGAAATTTGCTCATACTTTAAAAAGAAAACTTCCATAGCCAAAAATAAAATAAATAAAGGTATATGAATTTTCTCCATTTACAAAACAGTTATACTACAAAATAAATTATCTTAAATTCATGAAATTTGATTCAAGAATTATTAAATAAAGATCAATCTTGAAGAGATGCTAGAACGTTTCAAAAGGTTCTAAAATTACATGATTTTATGGGTGTGATATAAATGGTATTGTATATCCTTTGACCTTTATCTCTATGAGACAGTTGTCCATTCATCTATTCTTCTTGAGGATGTGTTCCCTTCGTATCATCATCAATATCTACGCCCTTTATCTCTTATAGACATGTTCCATACAGGAGGAATTCACAAGTTCGACAGTACAACAAAAACTTCTCAATTTTTTCTCAGTCAACATTTAAACTCTATAAAATAAAGTTCGTTGCACCCTTGAAGTAATGATGAAGGTCAAGAAAATTATCTTTGTATTTTTCTATTAATTCACATTTTTTTGTCTTTGTTTTAATTATTATGAGCAACTTGATCATTCGTTAGTTTAAAAAAATCTTGGTTATTTAGTCTTATCTTTTAGGATCTTCTACTATAAAAAGAGATTCAGGAGCCGAGTAATAGTAAGAATATCAAATTATGATAATTAAAATGAGTTGATGGTTTGCATAATTTCTTCCTTCTAGGCTATGTCCCAGGTTTCTCCTCCCTTTAAACTATGCACCAGTTTCTTCTATGTCCATCTTGACAATTCAAGCTTCCACAAATTTCTCATTGCGTCTCTCTACATCATCGTTTGAAACATCATTATTTTGAAAGAGAATTTAATGATAATCTTGAACCAAATGATGTAATAGGATGCATTATCACATCAAACGTCATGAAAATTGTGCTTCAACATATACATCCATACCTATAAAAATGCAAAGAATAATATAATTAAATCATCGGTTTCAGCACCAAAACAACTATAAATGGATAATATCTCAAGGAAAACAAAGGTTTAACTTGATAAAATTTCAAACATGCCTGTTCTTCAGCATCTTTCTCAGTTATCGTGCTTTGCAAAACTCTTTCTGTCAAGCCTAAAGAATTCAAAAACTATGATTAACACATTATTTTTTGCACCCTTTAAAATGGTTTGGCTCCAAAATTTTTGGATGAAAGTTTCAACCCATCTAGTGGACAACAGCAGACACGACATACCACTAGCAGCATGATGTTCTCTACACCATTCTCCCATGTTATCCAAGCACTCCTTGCTCTGGTTAATTACTAAATCAGGACCCTGCATAGTTCAAAAAAGATTATAATAATAAGGTCAGGTCACTGTTTCTTAATGTATCACTTCACCAATGAAAGAATAAATACGCTATAACACAATAAAATCAGTTCTATGTAAGGAAAAACCCTTGAACAACATCAACGTTTACGTAATACTTCCCCATTTTTTTATAAGACATGTAAACAGACACATAAGCAATTGCATAAGAATTGATAAAATCCCATAACTTTTGGAAATAAGAGTTTAAGCATTACTCAGCACTACCTACAGAAAATATAGTATTTCAACACATTATCAAGGTGAAGTCAGTAGGGAAGTATCGAATCCTAATAAAATATGTTATTTTAACCAAAAAAAATGAAAATGACTTTTTTAAGTGAAGCCATTCTGAAAACTATCATCTGGAAGTCCTAACAATATGAAAAGACAAAATAAAATAAAATGTCAAGTAGTCACCTCCATGGATGTGGTCAATTTACCATCAGTTATAACACAAGCTATTTCCAATATTCTATCAACTTCAATATCCAGTCCTGCATTTAGAATAACCGTTAGAATTTTACAAGATCAGCAATGATAACTGACTATTTACATTATAGGGTCAAACCTGTAGACTCAAACCCCTGCACATGGAAGAAGAATTGACAGGGTCCGCAATACAATGAATGTCCCAACTGAATTCAAAATATATGCTAACTACAAACCTAATGCTTTGCAAGCAAACTGCGACGCCGACAGCGTTGGAAGCGACAAAATGATATTCTTTAAACACTCATATGACGGGAGTGTTTACAATAAATCATAATCAAATGAGTTCATTTTCAAAAATCAAGCTTCAAGCTCAAATACAACTATTTTTCAAGCAATGCTCTTGATGATGGACACATTAACAAAAAAATCTCAACGGAAAAGACTATATTTCTAAAATGCCCCCAAATTCTAAAAGAAAATCATTTTGGACTTAAATCACAAATAATAATAATAATAATAAATATAAAACAAAATTACAAAAAATATAAAAAATTAAGTGAAATCAACTTCTATAAGATAAAAGCAAAATATATCCACCCTCCACAATAGCTTATCAAGGCTGAAGACAAGTTAAAGATAACCACAACTCACAATGCACAAATGTCAGTGAATCACTATGACCACTCTCAAAAGGTCTCAAGTCTATAAGGATATGGCACATGTAATTTAATCAGATGATTTTGCTGCAAAATGTAACCATTAAATTACAAACAACGCTAAAGCCCAAATATTTCAAAATGACTCGGATCATATGGTGTACTTGATAGGACACAAAACATTCAACTAGCTAAAGTCGACTTAAAACTATTCCCTTAGATAGATATCCACCCCAATCATATAAGGTCTACTATGCAGCCATTGATGTCAACAAGGATCCTTTGATCATGTTGTGTCTATTACTTCCACTGACTAAGTAGACTAAGTGATGTAGAACTATGTAAGAATGCATTGAATTTTGTTTAGAATTTTGCACAACTTTTGATTAGAGCAACAGTGAAGACAACTAGTAGTAATTTAAACAACGAAATAAAACGAGAAAGGGGTCACGCCCGCTTAGGCTAAATCACATAACCAGAGATTTGAAACTTTCATAATAAATTAGAAAATAACGTTATGCCTGAATAGTAGCTTCAATAAGAATCCCTAATCTAACAATAAGAATTAGTAAGCAAAGAAGTGCACTCAAAACCCTACGTTTACTAAGCTTTAGCAGGAGCAGATGGAAGCGTCCTTCGTGACTGCAATCACTCACAAGAAGATTAAGGTTAAGAATGTCACGAGGAGTAGGAAAGACCTTCGTCAAGGATCGGCGGTGATCTTCCACTCAACGCCTTCAAGTTGTTCTTCAATTGCTTCCACCAGAGTATCCAGAATGCGCTCAATGTAATCTTCCACAATGTGATCGATCTTCGGATTAACGTCAAAGAAAGTTGACTGGAGGATATTTATGAAGCCGTCCTCGTCGTAGGTTAGGCCATATTCAGTTTCTGGGTCGGCCATTCATAGATGCACGATGATCAAGTCTTCCCACGGCTTGCTATAACTTTGAATGTTGTTGTAACGTCTTTCCAAAATCTGAAATAAATTTCAGATTTTAGGAAAATTAAAGGATGGGGATTCAAGGGGAAAATCCAATCCTTAATTCCGGTGGGGAGTCAAGTGGAGAGAGGGGGATTTGAGAGAGAGAACGGACGGGTATAGAGGGGGAGGCCGACGACAATTGATGGGGGAAGTAGGGAATTTGTTTCCAAATTGCAAGGATTGATTTTGGAAAGAAATAAGGAGGTGTAGGAGCTTTGGAAATTTCGGCTAAGAGGGAATTAGGGTATTTGAAATTATTTCCAAAGTGAGGGATTGGATTTAGGAAATAATTAAATGAGCATTAATGGGCTAGGGAGACAGGGGTCGGCGGCATCCAAAGGGGCTAGAAAATTGAGGGCAATTAATTGGGGTTCCTATTTTGGATTTAGGAATTAGGAAAGTTTTAAATTACATCCAATTTAAATTTTAAATTCAAATAGGATGAGTTTAGAAACTTTCCTAAAATAGAAGAGTTAAATTAGGAAAGATTTTGAATTCATGTTCCAATGATTTTGAATTTCAAAATTATCCTAAATTAATCCTCAACCCAATTGGGAAACTCAAGGGAGAAGGGAAGTGGGTGATGGCCAGCGGCTAGGGGGCTAGGGTCGGCAGCATGGGGGATTTCGGGTATGGTGGCCGGCGGCTTGTGGGGGAAAATTTTGTGGAGCTCGGTTAGAAGGAGACGATGACTTGGACATGGAGGCGGTTTGGATGCAAGTTGATAGATAGTGGAGGTGGAAGGGGAATGACAAAAGATAAAGAAGAAAACCACGAACCCGGCCTTCTCCAAGGTTGGTGGGTGATCCGATCTCACTCTCCTAGGGATTTCTCTCGACTCTCACTCTCAAGCTCTCACAAGAACTCATGCACGAAAGAAATTTTAATCAATCATTCATTACTTGAAAAATAAAACAAGCGGCTATAAATAGCCTAGTACATGAGACTCAAGAAATAAAGACGAGAATGCCCTCGGGGCTTACAAATGACACCCCTTTATTAAAAGGGTACAATGGAAAATAAAATAACATAAAATAAAACAAACACACGACGCATTAAAAACAATACAATCATAAATCAAAAGTACAATACTTGATCGTGGTCGTAGATCGGCGGCCACGCCTCTGATAAAGCTTCCACGATCTGATGTCCCATCACTAAGGTCCATAACAATAAGGGACGACGAAATTGTTACTCCATTAGATCTTAATCAAGTTTGATATCATTCTCCCCACCATCAGCTTTAAGCTAAATGCGGTAAACTTTACTCTATCCTAAAGATAAAAACGGTTGCTCCTATAAGCTAAGCATTTAGTGTTTATTGACTAGTTTTAATTAAAAGTTCTCTTCACCGGGTGGGATAATTAATCATAAAGTCTTACACCTCTGACAAATCTAAAATCAAATCATAAAGTCCTCAAAAATGAGTGTGCAATCTTTGGATAGTATCTAGAATCCAATCTCTATCTTCTGAAATCTTGACCCAGAAAAAATACTCTCTTAGTAGAAGCACAAATTTTCGGAAACACTATCTTGAGAGGAAACCCCAACAGTTTGAGGAAACGAATAGAAAGGGATAGAGATGTCTTGGGAGGATTGGAAGTGAGTTTTATTGGCCTGTTTATAGGAAATCCCAAGAAGAACATGGCCTATTTATCAATTCTCAAACAAACTCCACAAAAGAGGAAATCTGAACTATAAATAACAAACTAAATAACTATAAATTAACGGATAATTACAAAATAATGCATATCTAGACTTTAAAATTCAAAACTCATCATTATCCTACGGTAATATGGATTTCGCTCAAATGTTCTAGGCTTCCTACCTCCTGGTCTTGGTCATCAAGCCTCCAATAAACATTTTTTTCACTAAATGACTCTTAACAATTTTTTCAATCTGATATCATAATAACTATCAGCAGCAGCCTCCATCAAGAAATCAGATGGTCCAAATTATAAATTGACTTGGTCTCCAAATCTCTTTACAATATGATGTCCAAATTATTAGGAAGTTCATTCTCATGAGCTTCTTTGAAGTGGACGGTCAAATTACATATCTCCTTTATGATCTTATCCCCAAATCACATGTTCAAGTCTTTCATAAGACATAATTTCAAATTCTTAATTGGGCCTATTAGGGTGAATCAAATACTCAATGGAGTAGACTTCAACTTAACAATAAGCCAATGATGCCTATTTGAAGTAAGATTGACTCTAGCTTAACTCATGCCTCACCTTGGGTGGCAACCCACACACACAACATGTTATCCTCGATCACACTATTTAATCATCCATGAGCAAGGGATCAACCTTCGAGTATAATTATTGAGTCAAATATACATCATGCATACCAATAATGTGCCTAAGCGCCTCTACATCACAAATCATGTATGCCATCCACCTTTTGTACCTTATAGTGCTCTCCTTTTGGGTGAGATAAAAATTAACTTTGATAGCTAAATTAGTAGTGCCAATGCATTTGAGATGCACTAGACCTATTGCATACAACTGGCAAATTTTAACATATAAATGTTCAAGTCAAATAGTTGAACCTTGGACTCAGCTCAATAAGACTCTAAGCACCTCAAACCAAGATTTCCATAATAGTATTATTGGACCTTTAGAACTCTAAACCTTATAATGAGAGGATATCCATATTGGCATACTATCTTACCTTGGTCAACTCAAGATACCTATAAGAAGACAAATCTTGGCTACTAATCAAATTCCTAAGATATTGTGATTCAACTCATTTTTTCACTAACAAATTGGGTCCACTAGGAGATATGAGATTAATAAACTATGGGATATTGATCAGATTGACCCATTTTGAATGTCTTTTCCTGCACCCTCAAAGCCAAATCAACATCCATAATTAAGAGTGTTTTCTTCATCTTCTGAAAGATATAATTAAACGTAAGGATTTGTGCCACAATCCGTGAGACAAAATAAACCCTAGTCAATTATGCCAACTAGCTAAAGGAAGTTTTTAGAACCCTTTCAACTCAATCTTTCATTGAAATCCACGATGTTGCTCCACCTGAAATTCCAAATGAACAAAAAGAACTTAAAATTCAAATGCTAAGCCTATTAAAGCCTACCCAAGATTGAGTAATTAGTGTGATATTAACAATTATCAATAAAAATATCAGACGATAAAGTAACATATGGTTCAATCTATTACGCAAAAAAATGGAGATATAAATGAGGATATGGCTTCTAGAATTAAGGCAAAATAGTTAAAATGGAGAAGTGGCTCAAGAGTATTATGCAAAAATAGGACATCATGATGATTAAAGGTCAACAATTAGGTCGATGATTTTATATAGATTTGTGACTTTGTGTTAGGAAGAAAAAGTTTTCAATGCCAAAATTAAGTGCGGTAGAAACTACAATGTTAAGATGAATGTGTAACAAAA